ACAAATACTGTAAAGACAATTTTCCACTGCCACAAAAATAATGGATCCTATTTTCTTTATCATTAAAGTAAACGCAGATCTCTGTTCATAACAGCTGTTATATCAAAAGAAAATAACTAATCTACTTGTACATTTTATCCAAACATGGTGCACCATGATATGACATGAATTTAGCTGTAATGCAACAAAAAGAGCATAGTTTATATAGTTGCTCTTTCTTGTGCCCATCATTTCATTGATTCCAAACCTCTGCCTCATAAAACTTAGTGTGGAATACTGGCTGGAAAAAATGCATCAGAGGACATGATAATGACTGTTGATATTGTACCTAGGATAATAACAGCCGCAAAATCCAGAAGCCCACATTGTGTGCACATTCTCCATGGATTTTCCAATAGCTATTTCTGTGCACTGCATTTCACAAGGTCAAAACTGGATTTGTTGAACACTGGACTCTTTCAACATCATTGTTCCTTTGAAAATGGAGATCACTTGCTGGATTGCTCCAGCAAGTGTCAGGCTTTAATCCTGTCAGGCTTTTCTTTTCTTTTCTTTTCTGTAACATTATCTTACCACTTTTTAAAAGTGCTATATCAGTTTCCAGAAACAGCTCAACTGACTTAAAATAGGCACGGGAGAGGAACTGGAAAAGCTCCCTTTCAGAAATGTGGATTATATGTATTTTTTTTCTCTTATTTTCCTTCTTAAAACTTCCATGATAGCTTAGAATGCTATACAACAATACTAATCTGGTCATCATGAAAAATAAAATTTGGGGTGTCTTACAGACAAATATATTATGTGACATTAGCTTTAGGGCTATCTGTTCTATTAAGTTCTCATAGAATATGTGAAGAAAGATGTTATTAGTTTATCCAAGCATTCTATGAGGATTCAATTGTTGAATCTTGGGAGAAATAATTAATAGAATAGAAATAATCATAGCCTTCATTGTCCCTTAATTCCAGTCAATTATTCATATAAAAGGAGGAAAATAATTCCTCACAAGAAATTAAAATCTTAACACTCATTTGATTGCTAATTAATTTTGGTGATAGAATATACTTTCTTGGTATAATTAGAAAAAATAAGCTATTTTTGGCAAAAATACAACATGAAATATGACATTTGTACTTTCTGTGTGTGCATGACTGTGCGAATCTATAAATACCTATATTTACAGTAGATATCTCACTATATTCTTGATGAATATAGCTAATAATAACAACTTGGTGAGTGTAAACTTAGGTTTAGACTTGTATATAGAGCAATTCTTAGTTGAAGTATCTGTATGTAAATATGAGGGCACTTCAAAGAATAGGCTGTAAAAGGGGGGAATGGAGATATGGCTACATAGGAAAAAAACTGTAATTAACTGAAATATATATACTTTGATTTGATTTAATTTGAGTAACATATAGGCATGAAATTCTTCCCAGATAAAAGAGGAAGTAATATACAGTTGCTCTCCTTTGCCAATTTAACTTTTCTATAATAAATTTAAAGAAAAATGTGAAAGTCATTGAGTTTTAAAAACTATTCAGCTTCTTAGCCTCAAACCATAGTCTTATGAATGAAGTGGTGCTCTTTCGCCTTCCAAATTGCTTTACATCAAAGATAATGGCGGGCCTACACCTCTTCCCAAAATGGGGTTGGATTGAAGGACCCAGCACACTGTCTAAGTCTAGGAATAAAGCTAAATGCAGGAAGATTACGATCTAACCACTGCAGCATCTTTGTGCAGACACAGAGAGCAATTTGTGTGCAAAGGCCTTTTCAATAGTTTCAGTAAATTGGATTATCTATTATTGTGTCAGAACTCCTTTTAAATTTTAGTTAAGTTTTAATTACACAGGGTTGCCCTATTCATCTTTAGTTAAAATAACAATTTTACCATTGTCATAAATAAAATATGGTTTTAATAAGTTTAGTAATTAAAAGCAATCTTAAGCAATTGCACTGAGCTATGTATAATAATGAGCAGTCTAAATGTTCCCTCATTCTTATTGCTGCCATAATCTATTTGCAGTGCCAGTAGAGTTCATTTTTGTTCAGCCCAGAAGAATAATTACACTTTTACTATCTCTTTAATTATTTTTAATAATCAGTGTTTGTTAAAGTTGATTAGAATGTGAAATATTATTTGTTTCTTTATTGAATAATAATCATTAGAATAATTATGGTTAATACTGTTCTCTTCTGAACACACAGCTCACTCAGTAGAGCATTGTATACATCAGTGCTGGGTGACAGTGCATCTTCAGGTGAGGGAGTCAGGTCAATATGGTAGGCAAGATTGCACAGTGGAAGTCCCACTCTTCATACTTACTTTATAGCATGTAGAAGCAGGCAAGGGTTTAATCATGATGGCATGCTGCCATCTTGACTATTTTGAACCCCCACCCCCTAGCCCTTCATATCTGCAAAAGAAACAAGGGATACTTACCTTGGCACAGCTAGGTAAACTTAATAAACCCTTTGGAACAGTTTAAATATAGTCTTTTTTTAAAAAAAAAAAATCTAATACAACTTTTCTAAACGCATGGGTAGGTTTTGAAACATTTGGTTTCAGATGTTGACTTACCTTCCCCGTAACTCCCCCCCCCCCATTAAGATATGTTCAGGTCAGAGTCTTCTCAAGTATGGTAATGCTTAGAAACTGCTAAAAGCATGAAAACAGCATTGCAGCATTTCTTGTCCAACCACACGTTTTCATTACCCCATCCAGACAGGGAACTTTGTTTATCATTTGAAATGTTGGCATAGACAAAAAAAAATCTAAACTATGCTATTCCAGAGAATCTATGGTTACCATGCAGCACCTTTTTCTTTTTGTCTCATGCATTCATTTGGAAAACATCCATTCACTGAGCACCAAAGAGGATGAAACATTAACCATGTGGCTTAACTTTACATTGCCGGTTTTTAAAAGGGGGAAAGAAAAAAGTATGCAAGCCAAAATGGTTCAGGGGACTTCAAGGAGCTCAAAAGAAATTAGGATCCTAATATGAATAGAAAAGGGTTTTGTTTTTTTTTTTATAATGGCCTCAAACCAAAGGGCACTTTTATATGATCTTTTTACTTTTCTGCCTCCAATTCGCTTCACGGCAGTTTGAAGTTGAACTGTTGATCATCTTCACAGTTACTTATTTGTAATACTGAAAACAATCAGTCAATGCTGTCACTCCAGCCAACCTCTAGGAACTTGTAAAAAAGAAGAAGGAAACAGCTTTCCTTCAGTACCCCCATCCACGTTTTTTTAGATATGTAATTTCAGCAGTAAGCAAGCAAATGAATGTGCATACAACTGTTTACAAATAAAAAAATTAAAAGCTTTTTTCTCTCTTTTTGACAGCCACTAGTATTAATCTTTCATGTCCAAACAAATGCTTTTGTCTGCTGTGGACATAATTGGTGCAGTATCCCTGTGAATTATAGCATGGATATATATATTCACAGAGATAACTGTCAACCATTGATCAATAACCGTACCCTAACCCATTTGATAGGGGAAAGAAAACATGAGACAATAAGCTAAGCTACTTTATTTTGATTATAACAAAAAATACAGTATGAATGAAAAATAAATATTTTGTAACTACAGTAAATTGGAGTAAATATAATTAGGACAAATCAAATTTATCCTAACGAGGTTCTGCTGAATCTGCTGGCTACTAAAAAAAATTGGTGACACTGCAAGTGAGTATATCACTCTATTAGAGCAGGGCTTTTCAACCTTTTCACAGGTTGTACCACTTTTAGGACATGACAATATTTGAGTACCACTTTCCCTTTGCACTGCAAATATATGATGAATTTATCCATGTTTATTAATATGCACCACTACCAGCTAGTCCAGGCGTCTTCAAACTTGCACTTATGACTTGTGGACTTCAACTCCAAGAATTCCTCAGAGTACCACTGGTTGAAAAGCCCTGTATTAGAGTATATCACTCTAATCAGCTAAAAGAAGGTAAAAAGATAATGCAGCTTGGTTATTGAATGTGTACATTTGTGCTACAATTTGTGATAAACTTGATGGTACAGAAGCATGTGGGTGTTGTTCCAACAGCACCTTACTTGCAAAAGAAAAAAAAATCAGCAACTGAAATGATTCAAGAATTCACCCTACTTTTTTCTACTTCCTGCACAACAGAATAACTGTCTCTACCCCCACCCCCCATACACAAAGAGATACAGGCACACAAACCTCTGAGCAGACTGATCTGTTTTGCATCTCTCCTTTGCTTTTCTAGGAGTCACGTGTGGTTTTTACTAACAGTGCAAGGACTACTTTTCCCAGAATCCCCAGTCTGTGGCTAATTTTGAACTAATGCAGTGCACAAGTGATCCAAATCTATCCCCAGCAGTGATTGCAAGTCTCAGTTGGAGTTGAAAAATGTACCAATGATAGCTGGTTCATAAAATGTCTACTAGGACATTTTTTTAGATGTGTTGAGAAGCCTGGTAATATCTATTATTTTGCCAAAATACTACTTCCTTCCTCTAGGTTATATACAGATTTGCTTCTCGCTCTAAAGCAATAAATACATAAAAATAATAAACATTCTTATGTTTGGGACCAAGTATAGTACAAGCAAAACATTTTTTTATCAATGACAAGTTGAAAGATGAATATTTAAAATAATGGTTTAGGAACTGTTGCAAATCATAACTATTGGAAAGTCAAATGCTTAATTGGGACCTGAGGCTTTGTCTGTTGTAACAATTTTTCTCTTTTCTACATTTGCTGTCTTCAATTCAGAATTAATTTGGGATGATTTGTATCTGTTTATCAAGGAGATATATTGTTTTTAAATAATTACTGCTTGTATTCTGTTTCAAGAAAGAAAGATGAGTTTTAATCATTTTAATCCTATTTGCTATGCTGCTTTTTAATTTTCTTACTCTGTCATATAATTTATTTTATAAATTGACATATATTCATTAATATTTATGTGCTTTTCTTTTCCATCCATCTCTCTCCATCTCATGAAAAGCACATCAGGGTAAGTTAAATCACAATGGTTGCTGATCATATTCATTTTCAGCACCATGTTTAAATTTCCTCCTTTACTTCATTTTTATTTATTTATCTTACTATTTTGAATTGATGATCTGAGAACTGAACAAAAAATAAATATTTTAAATTGGCAACATTAGACACCCTTTCAAAGTATGCATTTAGTTTATGGATATATCAATTTATTTTTAAATGAACTGAGTGAAATTCTAAATGTGTTTAAATAAATTATCAAAATGTTCTAAATATTATATATAACTTAGATTGCACTCAGTCATTTGATTCATTTACTTGTTCTATATGAACATTATATAGAACAACAATATTTTGTATTAATTTCTTTCACTCTTGATTTCATCTCTTGGCAATTCAGTTAATTTGCAAATTTGAAAATATGTTTTATTGCTCTTGAGATTTTGGCTAAAACAGTAAAATGCAAAACTAACTTACTTACCTAGGTGAAAGACTCACTGAAATACAGGACTCATTCCTAACCAATATGCATAGGACTGCACTTTCTTATCTTATAAACAATCAGAAAATCTAGAAGGAAAACAAAGCTATTTGTAAGAATTGATATAATGTAAATAGGATCAGTTTTGGAGATTTACCCAAAGTCGTCTTGCTGAAAGTCAATCTTATTCATTTAAATTTTTTCAAGAAAAGGTATTACTATTATGGCTGCTATTGAATATTTATTTAGTTATTTTTATTAGGCCTTTATTTTTTTTATAAATAACTCAAAGTGGCGAACACTATAATACTCCTTCTTCCTTTTATTTTCATCATAATGACAACCCTGTGAGTGGATTGGGCTGAGGGAGAATGACTGAACCAAAGTCACCCTGCTGGTTTGTCATGTCTAAACTGGCACCATGTACACATATAGAGAGGCAGACAGACAAATAGATATAGATATACTGTATACAATTCTTGACTTACTACCGATCACTTAATGATGGTTTGAAGTTACAACAGACCCCCAAGAGCTACCTATGACCCAATTGTGAAGTTCCAACAGCTGCCTTGCCACTGTCACATGATCACATTTTGTGTAACCCACATCTATGGCCATTTGCAGCATCCCATAATCACAAGGCTACAATTTATGTTGTTTTTTGTGAAAACTGGTGTTTTCCTTCGGTTTTTGGCAAAATCACCCCATAGTAAACAATGGGTTCACTTGTCAACCAAATGTTCAATTTATGACTGCTTTGTTCACTTAATGACCACTGCAAAACTGTTTGTAACATTAGGTTGGTCATGTTGGTGACCCACTTTATGACTGCCACAACTTACAACTACAGTATAATGGGCACATTCCATTACAGTCGTAAGATATGGACTACATACATTATAGTTTTAATGTAACTTAAGTTTCCAGTATCTGAAATTGCTTTCATTTACAATAAAATGAGTTTATGCATTAGGTAACTTGATCAATTCATCATAATGGTGGCATATTAGTAGCCTTATTACTTATAGATGTTCAATACTGATTACCTTGTATTCTAAATTTTTTGCATTTATATAACCTTGACATTTAAGAAAGTGATAATGTTCATTATTTATTAAAACATAGTAACAGCATTATTTTAGCAAGCTGAACTTTTATTCAAAATATATTACATTTTGTTACTATAGACTATATTAATTTTTCTGTCATTAGATCTAAACAATCATTAAACTTATTTTTGTTTTGCTTTCACATTTTTTATTCTATGATAAATTTGCACTAACATGTGTTTTTTAAAAAAATTCAGAAGTGATAGATTCAGCTTGTTGCACTGCACTGCACTAAATGAATCAAAAAAATTTTAAAAAATAAAATTACACAATAACATATGTAAGATTGATCATTATTGAAACTTGAGTTTTACCAATTGATTTCATTCCTATCTTTCATTAATAAATAAATGAATGTGTAGATGACTAATTTAATTTTTCTTTTTTTTTTCTTCTATGCTCTACATTGAAATTTACTTTTCATCTAGACCAGCTTTCTCCAATCTAATATCCTCCAAAAGTTTTAGACTACAGTTGTTGGCCATGCTGACTGGGGAGGATGAAAGTTATATTTCAGTATGTCTGACAAATGCCAAGTTGGAAAAGCTGATCTAGTTTAACAAAGTATGGAATATTCCTGTTGGATTCTACTTTCCATCCTTGGCAAACTGGATTAGAACCTATTTTCTAAAATAAATATGAATATTGTATAAATTAATCTCAATGAATTAATGTTTTGTGTGCTAAATTAGGCCACATTCCTATAATATTTAGAAGAAAAAAATATCATAAACTCCATATTTAGCTTGTATCTCATATCTGTGCCTGAACTGGCTTGAGTTCTTAAAATGAAGTTACAATGCCACTCTCACTTGATATCACAAGAAAATATGCTTGACATTCCATGGAAAACAAACTAATACTGAAATTTTTAAACATCTGGATTTGAAAATAAAATGGATTCTACTTATTACTAATTAGCCTTATAATTTTCAAATATTTATGGATATATTGCACCACTAAATGGCTAAGATTAATTACGAAGTATATATCGATTCAAATATAATGAATCTGCTGCATGTCGCACCAGTTTTATGGATGGCAGAGGTCATGTAAAATTGGGGGCTCAGAATGCTATAAATGCAATTCTCAACTAAAGTTGCATTTATTGAGTTTCCCCAGGGACACCTGCATTTAGATTTTGATTTTCTTTGGGATAGTTATAATAATATTCCTTTTTTGTTATAATTTGGAATTTTACTGTATTTTTTTAATGTGACTGATACAATAGTGGGAACAGTCAAGTATATTGTAAGAAGGTCCAGATACTTTTAACATAATTGAAAATGCATAGTGCTTGGTTTTAATTTTTTTGGAATTAATTTTATATCGCTCAGAAATATTGAAATAATACCTAAATAATAAGTAAACTTAAGTGATGAATTAATTTCTCAGCATTTATCTCTTAACCATCCAAAAGGAATGATGGAAGATTTTTTCCAAGCTTTTCCTGCCTTCAAATATAATCATAAATTTCAATTTGCAAATATGATTAGATACTTTTGAGAACTGCTGTTAGAAGATTGAGTTAATCCTGTGCTGTGCTACTCAGTGTTCAACAATGTCAAATAACAGCTGGGGGTGCATGCATTTTTCTCCTTTCTGAAACTACCTTAATCTCCCAGAAAACTGCTGTGGAGGGTCTGAATGGGGAGGCCACTGAACTTTAGAATGTATCTTACAGAGTTGCAATAAGAGAGAGTAATCTCACTATGATTGTTGAAAACTGTAGCTTTCCTATTAGTCTGAGAAATATATGAAAATGTCTGTACAAGTCCTAGGCACTGCAGAGTTAAAAAAAAACAACAAAAAACAAAACCTAACACTACCCACATCATTGATCAGGTCACACACTTTGAGACCTGTATCCCCCTGCCCCAGAAAAAAAAACTGTGACAGCCCTTGGATCAAAACATTTACAATTGAAAGGAAAGTTGAGAGAAGATTGTAGTGGAATATATTTTTTAATGATAATTCATTTAGTGACCATTTGAAGTTACAATAGCACTGAAAAAGTGACTTATGACCATTTTTCACACTTATAATTGTTGCAACATCCCCATGGTCATGTGATCACAATTTGGATGTTTGGCAACTGGCGTGTATTTATGACACTTGCAATGTTCCTGGTTCATGTGATCAATTTTTGTGACCTTCTGACAAGCAAAATCAATGGGGAAGTCAGAGTCACTTAACCATATTACTAACTTAAGTACAATGTTTCACTTAACAGTGGCAAGAAAGGTTGTAAAATAGTACAACACTTAGTAACTATTGTGCTTATTAACAGAAATTTTGAGCTCAGTTGTGATCATAAGTCAAGGATTACCTCTATATTAAACAAAAAGAAAAGAAATATATAAAGAAGTGACCCCCATTATCACAAGTAATAACAATTTTAACAACTTAATCACCTTCTCTTAAAATACAAAAATACAATTTTGTCATTTCAATCCTGCTCAGCAAAAGTCCATATTCAGAGAGAGCAGCATACGTGTTTTAACCTTGATCAAATACACCATCTTTATATTCCTTCCTTGTACTTTTAACAATCTTGATCTTTAGTCCCTTTATATAATGTCCCAGAAGTTGATTTCTTCTCATTATTTTCTTTGTCCCTTCTCACAAAATTCTTGAAAGCTTTAACAAGTCTCTCTTGTGAATTCAATATAGGAAAATTATTGAGATTTGTTACCTTGATTTTTTACTCATGTATCCCTTTTAAATATTGTTGTTGTTAATTGCGAAGTCATGTCCGACCCATTGCGACCCCATGGACAACGTTCCTCCAGATCTTCCTGTCCTCTACCATCTTCTGGAGTCCATTTATGTTCACGCCTATTGCTTCAGTGATTCCATCCAGCCACCTCATTTGCATTAAGAAATGCAAAACATCTTTTGTATGTCCAGTATACCATTTTTTTCCATATCACTCTTGTAGCCTGTCACTTTTAAATCCACTTTCAGATCAGTCTCAGTCTCAAATTATAAGCTCTAGTAAAACTTATTCTCTTCCATAACATCTTTTAAAGACAGTCTGACCATAGAGACAAACATTCTTAAAATTAACTTCTAAGTCCATTGTTCAAAAATATCCTTCAGTATATCCAAAATGAAAATATGTTGTTCCATTCTGTATTAATAAGTCAAATGTATTGTAAGTGTTCTTCTCCTTTAATTGTAATATTTAGTTTCTTCTAGTATCCAACCTTCAAAGTCCCATCCTATGATTTTTTTTAAGAATTCAAAACAAAATCAATTTCCCACAGTAATGATTCTTATAAATAATTTCAAAATCTTATTCAAATGCATCTAGGCCATTAGTCCATTTATATCTTGCAAGAATCAAAAATTTAATCAACCTTTTGCTCTTTATTAAAAAAGGTCCTTAAACTTGTATTTAGAACTTATTTCAGTAAGAATTGAAGTAAATTCATCTCGTCTTTTCAGACTCAGTAAAAATTCTCAGTAACTGAAAAGCAATTAATAAGCAATTTCTGAAAGTGATTAGAAAAGAAAATATGCAAACCCAGTGTCCTTTTATAGGTGCCAATGATGGTTTGAGCAAAATCATTAGTCCCCCATCTCCCATAGCTCTAAAACCACCAGACTGTTGTTTTGCAGTCTCCTTATGAGGAACAACTACTGGCATCTGGAGTATTTGTGGATGATCTCAAGTCCTCTCCTTATTAGGAGAGGAATTACAACAAGTTGGTCTACTCACTGGCTTATCATTATGCTATGATCTTCAATTCACCATTTCTTCTCCAGAAGTCATATTTTAATATCTTGAGCCATCTAGATGATATTATTTTTCATCTCTGCAGAAACCATTTCAGAAATAGGAAGATTTATAGCAGGGATGAACAATTAAAGGCCCTGCAAATGTTGCCTATCTAGAAGACCTAGTTCTTTCATCACAGGGCAAACTGGTTGGAGTTAAAGTCCACCAATATTTGAAGGGCCACAGATCACACATCTCCTGTGTATAGAAAATATACTTGTGCATTTACAGCCTTATCAAATTACAAGCTATTTGATACTTTTGTTAAGTTATAGGAAACTTTTACTCTAACAAAAATCTGCAGTCTTTTAAAAGAAAAATTAATTGAAGACAGACTATGAGGAAATCTACAGTTAACACATATTGAACAAGTTGTGAAAGTCTTGTTTGTTAAACAACCTGGACATTTTCTTGCATTAAGGTCTGATTGTTTTTTACTTTATGATTAGAGCATAAATATGTTGAGGTGCTTAGGGACAGCTTCTAACAAAATAGAATAATGATAGTTTTATAAACCAGTTTGTGAAAGCGTGGAATATGATGTTAGGAAAATTGGTTTATTATTATTATTAATATGCCAAGATGAAATGCATCTATGAAAACAAGAAAATGTTTTCTCCAAGAAAAATAAATACTGTTGCAAAGTGAGGAACAAAAAAAGAGGGGTGCTTTCTGAAGTTCAAAGAGTATATGAAAAACTATAACATGTACTGTATTATCAGTTGACTTGGTGCATTACAATTTTATTTCATCCATTCTGAATTCTATTTGTGATGTTGTTAGGTCTTAGCTCCTGCTTTAACTATCTCTAATGCACTTTTAGGCATGAACTTCTGGAGGAAGCTCGGAGGAAGGGATTACCCTTTGCACAGTGGGATGGGCCAACAGTAGTTGCCTGGCTAGAGGTAAGCTTTAGGAAAACCTTTTAAAAGCATTAGTATACCTGATTTTACCTTCTTCATCAGCATTTTATAATTTAGGTTGAAAACAGGAATAAAGATCCTGTTACAACTGTTATTCTTATTTCCCTCTTGAAACAATGTCTATAAGCAGTTCATTCTTATACAGAATGACAAAATGATTTCCTTTTTTTAAAAAAAAAAGGATGTTTCACAAGACATATCATACTAGAACTTTAATTTTAAAAAATGACCCATTTTTTTTAAAAAAGTTCAGTATATTTCAGCCAAAAACTGTAGGAATGATAAAGCAAAAGTCCACTCATACTTTGGAAATTGAAATGTAAGTTATATTTTTATAATCTGAGAGAGAAGGGAAAAAATATTCTTAAGGAAGTGGGAATTTTAAAATAGTTTAAATAGGGTATAATGCTCATGCGATGTATGTGAAATAAGGTCATATATGACAGAAAAATACATAGCATTTATAAAGAAAACCTACATAGAATCTAGAAGCAGATTCTTTGTTTTTTAAAATTATATCTGTTCTGTTCGGTGCATTGGTAAGGCATTAAAACAAGGCAATAGTACAACAGATGCTTCTTTATTAAAAGTTCCAACAGAACAACACAAAATGATGCTGATCCCTTTTATACCCTTTTGCAGGGAACACCTCAGCCAATAAATGCAATGTATTTTCCCACTCTGTGCAAGCGCAATATCCTGGAGACAGTTTGTCTGGCCCGGATAGACCATGTGGTCTGCCTGGGTCTCTCTGCAGCTTCCTGCACCTGCTTTGTCAATCACAGGCCCAGGACATAACACCCCTCCCCTCTTGGTTCAAAAAATATATATACTACTCTCTTAACTACTACAAGTCACTCTTTTGAGTGTGTTCTTATTTCTAGGGAACACTAGGCCTGCCTACTTACTGACAGGAACCTTACATAATCTTGTAAGAACTTTTGAGGGCCTCTGGCCCATTCCGACCATCTCGGAGCTGCTGCAAGTGCCCGGTCTGCAAGCTCACCTACCAGGCTCGCCAGACCGGGACTTTGAGGCCCATTTGATGTGGGCGAACCCACATCTTGCTGGCTGGCCTGGTCCAGTAGGCCCAACCCTTTGTTCATTTGACTTCGGCTGGCTCTTTCCGGTAAGCCCACACCAAAGTTCCTTGGTAGGGTGGAATTCCCTGGATCAGCGAGAGACCCCAGTTGGGAGCACTGTCCTGTAGGCACAAGGCCTGAAGTAGGTGTGGCCTGAAAAGCCGGTTGCATGCAATGTCTTATGGACCCAGTGCCAGAGTCAGGAGCCGCCTCGTTGGCAAAGCCCCTATTTGGAGAGTGCAAATCCCTGCTTTCGCAGAAAGACTGAGATCCACAATCATGATCGTGGTCCTCCTCCTCCCCCCCCCCGAGAGCAGAGTCAGGAGCGGAAGGGTGACTTGGTAGCCTCCATCACAACTGGTCAGTGTGCTGATGTAGCACACGACCATCTTCCAAGGCCACTTCGTATGACAGTGGCCCAGTGAATTTGCAGATCACTGCTATTACCCAAAGATGTCCAGGTCCATAGTTCCTTGCCCAAACTGGATTGCCCACTTGTAGTCTCCTCAGTGTCCACGGTTGTGACACCTGTGAAGCCACCCGGTCTGGGTGCAATCTGTCTATTTTGGTAATAAGACAGCGACCCCAGCGGAGTTCAGCTGGGCTCTTGCCTGTAGCTGTGCAAGGTATGATGCGGTTGCAAAGAAAAAATCAGCTAACCTGTGGTGCCAACTCCCATGACTGAGCCTCTTCAAGGAATGTTTTGTGGTGCGCACCATGCACTCAGCTTGGCCATTGGAAGCCAGATGAAAGGGCGCCGAAGTAGCATGACGGATCATGTTGGCTTTCAGGAAGGACTGGAACTCCAAAGAGGTGAATTGAGGTCCGTTGTCGGAGACAAGAACATCTGGGAGCCTGTTAGAGGCAAAGATCCCCTTCAGCACCTGGATGGTCCTGGCAGTAGTCATGATGGACATTGGAATAACCTCAAGCCATTTAGAGTGACTGTCTACAACAATGAGGAAGAATTGTTCCTGAAAGGGGCCAGCATAGTCAATATGAACTCTTGACCAAGGAGCATGTGTGTCCTCCCATCTATGCATGGGAGCCTGTGGCATTTCAGGCCTGGACTGTTGGCAAATGTGGCACCCCTGGACCTGGGTCTCAATCTCTTTATCAAGCCCAGGCCACCAGAGATAGCTGCACACATGCGCCTTCATCGGACTATTCCCGGATGTCCCTCATGCAGAGACTGCAAGACTCTAGTCTTCAATGAGGTTGAAAACACTATCCTGCTACCCCACAGGACACAACCCTTAAAGGTGGAAATCTTGTGCTTCCTTTTCCAGAAACTCTAGAAATTGGTGCCAAGACACGTGTCAGGCCATCCTGACAGCACCCAGTTCAACACACATGTTAGCGTGTTATCAGTGGCTGTTTCTGCAGCCACATCCCCTGCATTGAGGGGAGACTCAGGCAAATCCTGGATAGCCAGGATGTGGTTAGCTGGAGCAGGATCTGATTCTAAAAGCTGTAGAGGCAACCTACTAAGGCCATCTGCGTGGCCCATTTCTTTGCCTGGTTTGTGAACCAGGGAATAGTCATAGGCAGAGAGGAATATTGACCATCTCAACATTCTAGGAGAAATTATGTGTGGGATTTGCTTGTTCGTTGTGAACAACCCCAGCAGTGGCTTGTGGTCTGTAAAGACCATGAAATGGCGACCATACAAAAAAATCATGGAACTTTTTATGCCAGCCACAATGGCCAAGGCTTCTCTGTCTATCTGTGCATAATTACGCTCAGCAGAAGACAAGGTCCTTGAATAGTAGGCCACAGGAACTTGTGTTCCATCAGCCCTGAGGTGGCTTAAGACAGCCCCGATCCCATAAGGGGATGCATCTCAAGCTATACACACTGGCAATTGCTCATTGAAATGAGCTAGAACAGCATTTGAAGACCACAGTGCCTTGACCTCAGCAAAACTCTGTTCGTGAACTTTTGTCAACTTCCATGGAGCCTGTTTGTTCAAGAGCCAGTGTAACAGCTCTGCCACTGCGGCCTTGTGGGGGGAAAAGGAATGGTAAAAATTCAGCAGTCCAAGGAAGGCTTGAAGCTCACTCTTCGACTTGGGATTAGGGGCCTGCTGAATCACTTTGAGCTTAGATTCAGCAGGATGGATGCCTTCGGCATCTATGCGAAACCCCAGGAATTCAGTGGAAGTTACTCCAATTTTGCATTTTTCCTGCTTAAGCTTCAGCCCCGCTTCACGGAAACACAGCAAAACGGACCAAAGCCTTTCAGATAGGTTTTCGATTGATTCCCCTGCAATGAGGACATCATCGAAATATGGGCAAACTCCCAGAATGTTATGGAGTGTTCGCTCCATCACGCTTTGGAAAATGCCAGGAGCTACATTAACCCCGAACTGCAGTCTTCTGACTTGAAAAGCTCCCCGGTGCATTACAATCGTCTGGGCCTCTGCCGTTGCATCATCAACCAGTAGCTGTTGATAGGCCTGGGCCAAATCGAGTTTGGTGAAAACTCAGCCTCCTTTAAGTGAGGCCAAAATGTGGCTCACCACAGAAACTGGATAAGAGTGCTGCTTTGTTTAACGCTTTGTTTAGCGTGCATTTATAGTCAGCACAAATGCGGACTTTCCCGTTGGCCTTGAGTGGCATGACTATGGGTGTTTCCCACAGACTGCTATCCATAGGTTCCAAAATGCCTTGCTATAGCAGTTTATCCAGCTCAGCATTAATCTTTTGCTTAAGCGCAAAAGACACCCGATGAGGCTTAATCCTAATTGGTGCAATGGAGGGGTCTAACCATAAAGCAATTGGAGGCCCCTTGTACGACCCTAGTTCTGGGCTAAACACGTTAGCAAACTTCTGCAAGACCTGTGGTTTGCAAACTGTGTAGCCCAGTCACCTGGATTCTAAGTGCCTCGAAACAATTGAGTCCAATTAGACTCATGTGGTCACCCTCAACCACAACAACATCCAACAAACCTTCAAAATTCCTACGCTGCACTCTGAGCATGGCCTCCCCTTTCACACTGACTCGGGAATTCTGGAAGTCTGTTAGAATAAGATTCAACGGTCTGAGTTTAACTCTCTGGCCGCTTCTATAGCAAGATCTGCTTGAGGGTGTTCTGGGAAATGATTGACAGAGCTGAACCCGTTCAGCTCCATCGTTAAGGGGACCCCCTGCAATTTGACATCAATACACAGCTTCTTCTTCAATGGCCGGTGGGTCCCTGTTCTCAATACGCTCCTTCGGGATGCACAAAAACCCACTCTATTCTGACTTCCGGTTCCAGTTCACAGTGTCACTAGTCACACGGGGAGACTTCTCTCCTCGTCGACTAGGTTTCCCTCCGTCGGTGGACCCTTATACGGGTCCAAAGTCGCCCTGGAGGGTGCGAGTTCTGTCGAGGCTGCGGTCCGGCTGTGGAGGAGCGGCAGCTCCTCCAACTGTCTGGACAAAACTCTGAAGACCGACAGAGAAGAAGATCGGCCATGAAAATGGCCAATCGCGCTGCTGCTTAAGACTGTAAGTCGAACAACATCTAAGCTTTTAGTGCCCCCGTGGTGAATCCAGGTGAGAATTTCTTTTTATTTTTCTCTCTTTGCCGTTTATTTTTTCGTTTGTATGCCTGTAAAGTGCTTTTAAAATTATTTCCCTGGCTTGGAAAGGCGGCTTTAGCTTTTTTATGGGAAGAAAGGCATTTCATAAACACTAAAAGGCTATAATCTATTTTTATTGGGACACTAAAAAGGAAAAAAAAGGAAAAGATTTCTCTCTCCTTTCTTTTTAAGAAATTTACTATTTCTACTTTTTATATATATATACATTATCTTAAAAGACAGGAAAAAATAGAATTGATTTTTGGAAAGGACTTTCTTAACTTACTGACATCTTAGGACATCTTAGGACATCTAGTGGCGAAAATTTAATACTGCAACTTTGCTTATTTTTTCTTACGAACTTTAAAACACTAAAGATAAGCTTTGCACCTGTGAAGATATGGGGGTGGATGTTTCTACATTAAACAAAGCCTCTACAAAAAAGAAAAAGAGATCTCCTTTTAAGCATTAGTATTAAAATGGAGAAACCTCAGATACAACTGAATTGTGCATTTATATTGGAAAAGATTTATGAGGCTACATTTAAAAACTGTACTTTAGAATCAAGATCTAGAGCAGTGGTTCTCAACCTGTGGGTCGGGACCCCATTTGGGGTCGAACGACCATTTCACAGGGGTCGCCAAACAAGGCTGTCCACCATTTTTTTTCCCTTTTCTTTGGCCATGCCCCTGGCACCTGGTGATGTATAAGTGGTTGGGGGTCACCACAACATGGGGAACTGTATTATGGGGTCACGGCATTAGAAAGGTTGAGAACCACTGATCTAGAGACTCTACTATATTTGCCCAAACTGATGTCCAGGTTACAGCTGATTATGACATAAATCAAAATGTGCCAGAAGAGGAATTTACAGAGATAGAAGTGGAATTTACTTCATCTGACAATCCCTTCTCCAGCAACTTAGAGAATCAGAAGAAACAAAGACTAAGACTTCAAAATACAAAGAACTACATCGCAAAGAGAACAGAAAAAGACGTTTACTGCAGAGGAAGAGAGTTATACTCTCTCAAAGATTATTACAAGCAATAAGAATTGATCTATTGGTTGAAAAAGAAAAAAGATGCTTACTACAGAGAAAGGGACATACATTTGCTCAAAGATTACTACAAGTATCGAGAATGGGTTTACTGGTTGAAAGGGAAGCGTCTTCATGGAAGCCAGTGTGGCAGAGAAAGAAACCCAGAACTAGACTCAAAAACAAATTTAAAAATGTTTAATGGTGTAAAAGGCAATGTTGATTTCATGGATTGTTTTAAGGATAATGATTTAGAGCTTAAAAATGCAATTAAACACATGCGTGTTTAAATTAGTAAAAATTGTTGAATGGATTAAAAGGCAATGTTGGTTCTATGGGTTGTTTTAAGGATAATGATTTAGACTTAGAAGTAAGAAATATATAATTATATTCATGTGTGTTTAATTTACTTTGATGACTTTTTTGTTTCATGGAAGTTTGGTATAGAAATATGAAAGTTAAATGTGGAATGAAAAAAGAAACTTGGCTTTACAGAGACTAAGAATGTATTTCTTGGAGTAATAGATTGATTTAGATTGGAATTTTGAAATGTTTAATTAATTAGATTTTTGTGTATGATAATATGTTTCGATATGCTAATTAAATGGATGGAATTTGGTTTGTTTAATGAATGGAAATGAATTAAGTTAATGATTACGATAAGCAACAAAAATGGACTTACTGGCTGAGAGGTTAAAGATAATGATCTAGATTTAGAAGTAAGAAAATTATAACTATATATATGTGTAATGTTTAATTAAGAGATATTTGTGTATAATAATACAATTTGATAAGATATGATAATATTGTCTTTTTTAAAACTAAATTAGCTATTATTAGAAGAAGAAATAAATAAGATTGGTGATAAAAAAGGGATGAGTGGGATTAAGAACTTGAATTTATTTGCAAGAGATATTTGAAGGGGTAATATGTTGATGTAAAACATTATTTGATTATGGTAATTGAAATTGATAAAGTTTTAATAAACAGGTTTAGTAGTAATTGAAATTTAGGATAGAAATGAAATATATTAAATTTATTATGTTACTTGAGGGAAATAGAGAGATGATAGCGAATGTATTAAGTTGAGCTGTTATTCTGTGATTTTATGTTGGGAATCTTTGTTTACCCAAACACCACAGTGTGTCTCAAACACTTTTTGTCAAAACTATAAAACCAATAAAATATATTTTTTTTAAAAAAAACCACTCTATTCTAGCTGGGGACCCTGATACCTTTCCAAGGCAATTCTTCCGATGGATGGTCTTTCTGGCAACCCAAACAGATGGTGGCTCTGTGGCCTTGCTGGCCACACGCCCAGCAAGTAGCAGAGCGAAAACGGCAGTCGGAGCGCTTGTGGCAGCCTCCACATCTGAAACACCGAGGGAATGGAAGTGCTTTGTCAGACCCTTTGTCAGCTTGCACTTGGGGCCTTCTCTCTGCCGGCTGATGCAAACGATCGATCTCATTTTTGGAATCCAGTTCAGATACCTCTCAAGCAACCTCTTGATGGACTGAGCCCAAACACGTAGGATTCTTGGAAAGCCGCAAGGCCTTAACAGCTCCTCCTGCTGCTTCGTCGGCCACGATCTCCCTTAACGCATCTTGGAAGGAAACGTCTTCTTTTGCGAAAATCTTTTGCTACAGTTCTCAGCTCCTCAGCCCACAAACTAGCCGATCTCGTAGCCGTTCTTCCAAGTCTTTGAACTCATAGGGCCTTGCAGCTTAACGTAGAGCAGCAATAAAGTTCGCAGCAGACTCTCCGGGACTCGTGTTGGTCCCACCATGCAATCACCGATAGTTTTGGTTCAAAATGTTCCTTTAACATTTTCTTCAGCTCTACATAAGCGATGGATTCCAAAGGTGCTGGGGCAACCAAGTTTTCAACAATGTCAAAAGTCTCTTCCCCACAGACACAAAGTAACGTTGCGGCTTTGAGCCCATCCTCCCAAACTTGGTTTACCTTAAAGTAGTTCTCCACCCTGGCAACGTAGGAGCTCCAACGTTCAGGGTGCGATGTATCAAATTCAGACAGACGCCCAATCTTAGCCATAGTTTCTTCTTGGTGGCCTCTTCCAACGCCTCATGCTGCTCAGGCTTGTGAAGGGGTTCCAGGATGAATCTTGACGAGCTCTCCTCCAGTGTCTTCATACTGGCAGGCAGAGTCGCACAAGTTGGAACGCTAAACTTCCAAGCACTTCGGCCTCCCGTGATGAGTCAGCCTAGTATTCTTTTGTTTTTTCCTTGCAGCACGATCCCACCTTCATTGCCAATGTTCTGTTCTGTGTGTTGGTAAGGCATTGAAATGAGGCAGTCGTACAACAGATGCTTCTTTATTAAAAGCTCCAACAGAACAACACAAAATGGCGCTGATCCCTTTTATACCCTTTTGCAGGGAATACGTCAGCCAATAAATGCAATGTATTTTTCCGTTCTGCGCAAGCGCAGTAGGCTGGAGACAGCCTGTCTGGCCCAGACAGGCCACGTAGTCTGCCCGGGTCTCTCTGCAGCTTCCTGCACCTGCTCTGTCAGTCACAGGCACAGGACATAACAGTATCATTATAAAATAAATTTAAAAGCCGCAATCCAGAAATAAATTAATACAAGAAAACATTTGTAGCCATAAATGTTGTGTGTGTTATGTTTGAATGTTATGTTAACTTTAACTCTAGTAATAATCTTGGTCTTGAGCTTTGCTTCGGTGACCAATTACTAGATCCCCAGATAATTATAATTTTGCTGTTTAATCAGAATAATTATCAATTAAAGCACATTAAGTTAGTCAGAAGGCAAGCATTTTTCATGATGCTTTCAACATGAAAGGCAGGTTTTTAAAATTTTTACCTTCTTTGCATTAGTTTATATCCATTTATAATTCCTGTCAGGATTATTTTTTTAGACTATTGTATTTAGATTATTGTTTGTTTTAGAAAAAATAGCTTTTCTGATAAAGTATTACAATGGATTATGAGATGACACCATTATATTCATGTTTTGGGAAAAAGATCTGGTGGTTTCATAGTTTTTGAAAAAAAAAACATTATAAGAAATCTAATGTCAGAATGGTGTACTGCCTTTTAAACCCCAATACCTAAGCCTGAATTTGCTTACCCAATCATTATTATGTTATTTCAGTGCAAGTTCCCAATTTAATTCAGCCTTGAGCTTTTGGTAACAAGAAAAACCGTATTGTTCTTAACTACTGATTCTCCTTCCCCAACAGCTGTGGCTGGGAATGCCTGCATGGTATGTTGCTGCTTGCCGTGCAAATGTGAAAAGTGGTGCCATCATGTCTGCACTGTCAGATACTGAAATTCAGAGAGAAATTGGAATCAGCAATCCTCTCCATCGCCTGAAGCTCCGTCTGGCAATTCAAGAGATGGTGTCACTCACAAGCCCATCAGCCCCTCCAACTTCTAGAACGGTGAGTCGCCTAGCATAAAAAGGAACTCTGCTGGATCTGTTAAAAGGCCAGTATATGTCCTAGTAGGTGCCTCTGGGCAACCAAGAAATGAAGAGGATACTTGTGTTCTTCGGCAACCGGTAAATATTCAGTAACTTCTGAAGAAAAAAACCCTGTTTAGCCATTCTATATGATAGGCATTGATAAATATATCCTTTCTCAGCAGGTCCTGTCTTCTCTTGTAGAAGGGTGAAAGAGTTCTAGTCCAGAAGTTAGATTCAGATGACAAACCAGACAACATTAGAGTAAATGGACTCAATGGACTAAAAATCAGCCTATGTCAAAAAAGTCATCTTGATGTTATCTGTTTTTCTATGGTGTTAGCAGAAGGCTGTCTTTTCCTTTCATGTAGAGAATGCACCCCTGAAGCAGGGAGCCATCACTTCTCTGCATTTCCCTCAAGGACTAAGATAGCTGCTGTATGCTTTTCTGATACGTGGAAACCCATGGTAGCTCAACTTCCTGGAGCTCCTCAATTCCTTTCTTTGTCTGGGAAAATTTGGGAAAGCTCCCAGACCTATTGATTACTGTTTACTTTTGTGGATTACAACCATCAAACTGAAAATCATATGGGATATTTGGGAATTAGTAAGGGGTCACTTTAAAATGCAGAAGCCAAATAGACCAGCTTGATAGACCAGGTTAGGACTTCAGGTCAGATGTTCCTTATTTATTTCTTATTAAGAAATAAATTTATTTTATTTTATCTTATTTTATCTTTAATAAGATTTCTTTGTACTTTATCTAGAATACAGAGTTACTGATTGAACTGTAATCCTTCAGATGGTTCACCAAGGTTTTTATACTCCAAAATTATGGCTAATATCACTTCAAATATATTTATTTATTAAAAACAATATGATGCCCAATTGGGATTAAAGTATTATTTTCTTAAATCCTCATTTCTTTCATTATATTACTTTTCAGGTCATGTGTAGCAACAGTTGAAAGTTCAGTATCTCTTGGATCAACTTCACAGATGATTTTCTGATATGCAGGACTACACATTTCTAGGGCAATTTCTGTACTTTTAAATATGTATGATATCCTTAGATTCAGTGAAATGTTACTATTTCCATATAAAAACAGTATTCTCCAAGGTGATAAGATCCAGATTTGTTGAGATTGCAAAATCTAACATTTCGGTGTATTAGCTATGCTCAATAGAAATTACAGACATTACAGTTCCAGTGCATCTGGAGGAAATCAGATAAAGAAAGCTGCTTTAAATTAATAATACTTATGAAGACAGTAATAGAAGTGTGTAGGGATTATTTGTTCACATTTGTTTAATAGAATGCAGATGCACCCTTCCATATCAGAATAATTCAACTGAGGGATTTTTTTCAAATTGCAGGGGGAAAGCAGCTATTTAACGTTGCTTTCTAGCTGCACCTCATCTGAGACAAGGATGTGGTTGTGCTCATTTTGATGCTGTATGCGGTTAACTTACAGTGTTGCTGCCTTTCTTCTTTAACACTGCTTACCTAATATGGATTTTGCCTGATCCTGTGGGCATGGACAATAGCCCTCAGGCAACGTCTGGGTAACCCATGAAGAAATGGAAAACCTTGCAGCTCCAACCAAAACGGTTAGTTCTAATATTGCCTGTCATTGTTATTGCAGTGTCATTGTAGGAAATTTTTAGGAGGACTAAATATAATAATTTTACAAACGATCTTCTTTGTTTTACACAATAAGCTTCATATGTATAGGCTGTTTTGTGAAAATGTCTGAAATGCGTTGTAGACAATTATAAACTTCTTAAATAATTTGTATCAAAATAAATACAAATGCATTAAAATTGAGAAATCAACTCAGTGCTCAGTTGTTTAGTGCATATTTGTTCATGTGCAAATCCCACCTTGTTCAGAAAGCTCCAGGGTTAGAAAGCAGTCATAACAAGTTGCTCTGACACTGCACTTCCCAAACCCATTCCTTTGGCAACCAGGGAAGAGGTCTGGCCAGGACATCTTGGGGGAGGGCAGTCAGTAGCTTGCTGGCCCAGCTGACAGATTTAGATGATTGCCATGGGATTGTCCACAATGCATATGTATTGAGGCCACCTATCCTGTTCAAGCTTTACAAAAGCTTACAGACAGTTCAAAAGCCAGTAGTGTCACTGCTCTCCATTCCTGGCTAGTCAAAGCTCTTGACCAGTACCTCCCAGAGGAAGATGCATGGTGCAGAAGCTTTAATGTCGGTGCCCATAATTGTCATCTGACTCACCAACTAGTAATTCTTCTGCCTGGAGCATCCTGAAAATTTGGGCTGGCAAGAGGCTTATTTACTGTCTCTTTTCCTCTCCTACTGACCAAATTTTATGACAATCTAGGAAAGAATCTGGGATTATAAGCATTTATTATATTGCTCTAAATATTCTATGTTTTTTGTTATTAACTGTCATTGCTAATGGCTCTCTTCAACTTGCAGAAGGACAGTGAGGAAGGCAGCTGGGCTCAGGTAAAACCCTTTTCCTTTTCATGTTTTTTTTTTTTTCAACATGGCAAACAGTAGTTCATTTTCTGGGAGTAGGAGTGATCAGCCCTTGTATAGATGAGAGCACATTGCTTAAACTGTAGACAAGCAATAGTCAAGATGGGGGAGTTCACCAATGTGGTGCTTTTCACTTTATTCTAGTCTTAAGCAGAAAAGTTTGGTAGCTGACAATGAGAAATTAGCTGATGGATTGGCACAGTTCTACTGCAAAATTCCTTTCTTTTGTTTTTCTAAATGGCCATATACTGAAAGGATCTATATGTCTATAAATTGGAAAATGGAAAGTTTATATATTACACCAGCTACAAGGTCAACTCAATCAGTATTCTGTTGCAGCTTGACAAAATTGTTTTTGTATTTTTATTATTGTAAATATTTTAATACCTACGAAGATAATTTTATTGGTTTGAGGTACAAGTCATTGAATTGTGTGCTATAATCCCAAAGCTAGCACAAAATTTTTACCCAAGTGAAAATCTCTTTTTCACATGAGTGCACATTCAATACCTTGGTTTCCATTTATGCAATTTTTTGCATAAGTGCCTTAACAATACCTTGCAACATAATTATGCTAAGTAATGCTTGTGCTAATTATGCTAGTTATTTCACCAATGATTCCATAACTATGAAATAAACCAACCATCACAAAAATGCACTCTTTTAAGTTTGCTTTTAGCATTACATTATACATGAATACAGCTAATAAATCTTTTCTCTATATTGCTTGCATGAACACTTCATTTTGGCAGAAATACATGTCCCTAACTAGATGATGTGAACTATCTTTTTTCTTTCCATATCCAGAATCACTTTTTGTGGAAAGGTTTTCTGTTTGTTTCCTTCTATTCCCTTTGTTGCATGGCATCCATACGGTATTCTTTGTGGTATTGCAGAAGTAGGTTGCCTTTGCTTGTTCCAAAATGCTTATGATTTTTCAATTCCTAGCCAACCCCCCATCCAGGTATTTACTAGGGCCAACCCCACTTTGTTTCTCAGATCTGCCAAAGTTGATTAAATGCTGTTACCTGGTGACATATTTGAGTAGGAATGCCATGTAATTACAGTTGTCCACCTATAATGCTCTTCTTTAACCTAATGCCTTCTAAATTGGCTAGGAATTTTAAAATTTATTCTCCTGAATTTTGGGGTAGATTAGCTGTGAAGTCTTGTAAGATATGGTAGATTCTTGCTTTGCTATTCTTGTTTTTAAATTGTAAGCTACTTAGTCATTCAGGAATTGATTGAAAATTTCCATAGACATTCCAAATCTAGGGTTTTTTTCTTTGAAAACATTTCTCATCCAAGCACTGAAGCACCTTAGTGTGTGTGTGTGTGTGTGTGTGTGTGTGTGTGTGTGTGTGTGTGTGTGTTTGGTGTGGTAATAAGGTAAACATGTTTCCCTATTTTTCCCCCATAGACCCTGGCTTATGGTGATATGAACCATGAATGGATTGGTAATGAATGGCTTCCCAGTCTAGGGTTACCACAGTACCGAAGTTACTTCATGGAATGTTTGGTGGATGCAAGGATGTTAGATCATCTAACAAAAAAAGATCTCCGTGTACATTTAAAAATGGTGGATAGTTTTCATCGGTAAGTTATAACATTTTTAATAACAGACGTGCGTAATCTTCACTGATAGAGGTCTGTACAACTCCTAAATGAATGTTAACATTTTTATATGAGAGAATAGAAACATAATCAAGCACCCTAATAGTCAACATATTATTTTGATTTCTGCTTTCTCCTCACTCCAAATTATTTGCCACAAAATAGTTCCAGTATTTATGAAACTGAATAAGAATGTTCAATAATAAGACTTTCCAATTGCCTTATGTTATGTTAATTTTTTTTAATATCAGAACAAGTCTGCAATATGGAATCATGTGTTTAAAGAAACTGAATTATGATAGAAAAGAATTAGAAAGGAGAAGGGAAGCAAGTCAGCATGAAATAAAAGGTAACGCTTTACTAACATAAAATAGGTTTTTCTCAATGCTCATCCTATAAAATATTCTAAATAGAAACAGTCTCATAAAAGTACATTGATGTGCAGATAAATTCAAACCATCGTCTCAAAACAATAACTAAAGCAATAAGTATATAGTAACAGGTTTGTTTGCAAGAAATAGTATCCATCTATTAGCTTAATAGATATCAATCTGTAATGGAAAACTATTAATAGATGGCATTACATTAAACAGCTAACATTATTAATCTAGAGATACATTAACATTGAATAGGCTTTTCATGTCTGTGTGCATTATCAGTGTAAGCTCATCCTTGTGACCCTTCATGTGTGACAATATAAAGAGGAAAACATTAAAAATAGCATCTAGCTTCATAATTAATTAGATTTGTAATTAAAGTATTTTTCAATTACATTACTAGAGAATATCAACATAAATGTTTCTTGTTACATCATATGAATTTGTCTATAAAAATTCCATGTATCCATTTCATGGAAAAATTGCTTTACATTTTAGAACAGGTATAGCAATATCATTGGAATACAGTATAATTTAAATAGCTATGTTAGGTTTAGTTCAGATCTTTTATTATGTTTTTAAAATTTAGTTATTAGCAAAATTCACTTTTTTGCCTTTTTTTACAGATGTGTTGGCGTGGAGCAATGACAGAGTTATACGCTGGATACAAGCAATTGGATTACGAGATTATGCAAACAATGTGTTAGAAAGTGGTGTGCATGGGTCACTCATAGCCTTAGATGATAACTTTGATTATAGCAGTTTAGCCTTATTGTTGCAGATTCCAACACAGAATACCCAGGTACATAAATTAACTATTTAAAATCCATTCAATTTCCATAGGATTTGAAGTATTTTTTACATTATTCTATTGGGTGATTTGTTAACCATAGGCACGGCAGATTCTCGAGAGGGAATACAACAATTTATTGGCACTAGGAACAGATAGACGCCTTGATGAAGTAAGTAGTCTTATTTTTATATAATGAATTATGAACAACAGAGAACAATAGATATTTGTTCTTTCTATAAAATATATGAAAAGGAAATAAATACCTTAAAATAGATTGTTGAGCATTATTATCATTGCAAATATAATTATACATAGATGAGAAAATAGTGAAAGGAAGGAATTATGGCTATGCTGACTTTATTAGAAAAAAAGGATGTAGTCAAATTAATTCAGAATAAGTTATGTATCCAATGAGAAAACAGGTAAAAAGATCATCCATGCAAAATTCCTGTAGTTCTTTGGCAAGACAAAGCCTTATGATATTTAATACATGATATTTTTGCAGAAATAGCCCTAATTGCCAATATGCATGTTAATGCATAAAGCTGCAATTAGCAATAGGATATACTATCAGTTTCTTTTAGCCACATAATTTTCATTATGAACCTACAACAGTAGTTAAAACCAGCACCTTGAATTAAATCCAGAAGCAAACTGGCAGTCAATGCAGCTCATGAAACAGAAGTATGATGTGCTGTTTTGGGAGCACATGTAACTTGTCTGCACCACTGCATTTGCATTAGTTGGGCAGTTCCATATGCAGTGCATTGCAGTATTTCAGTCTATTATTTTATTTTATTTTATTTTATTTTTAAAATTTATAAGCCGCCCCACTCCCGAAGGACTCTGGGCAGCTAACAATAAAAAAACACATAAAACATAACAAACAAACAGTACAAAGACAGTCATCCAGGGGTCAGGTTTTATAAACCCCGGCCTGCCGGAAAAGCCAGGTCTTAAGTAGCTTACAGAAGACCAACAGGGTGGGAGCGGTCCTAATCTCCAGGGGGAGCTGGTTCCAAAGCGTGGGCGCCATCACAAAGAAGGCCCTCCTCCGCGGCCCCGCCAAATGGCACTGCTTGGCCGACGGGGCCTGAAGGAGGCCCAGCCTGTGGGATCTAACCGGACGTAGGGAACTATGAGGTAGTAGGCGGTCTCGCAAATAGCCTGGCCCTGAGCCATATAGGGCTTTAAAGGTAATGACCAACACCTTGAATTGGACCCTGGAGACCAATAGGCAACCAGTGCAGCTCACGGAGGATAGGTGTAACATGGGTGTATCGAGGAGCACCCACTATCACTTGCGCGGCTGCATTCTGGACCAACTGTAGTCTCCGAATACTTTTCAAGGGTAGCCCCATGTAGAGCGCGTTGCAATAGTCCAGACGTGAGGTGACAAGGGCATGAGTGACTGTAAGGAGAGCCTCCCGGTCCAGGTAGGGTCGCAACTGGTGCAACAGGCGAACTTGTGCAAAGGTCCTCCCCGCCACAGCCGTCAGTTGATGTTCCAAATTCAGCTGTGGATCAAGGAGGACACCCAAGTTGCGAACCCGCTCCGAAGGGGGTATATTTTCCCCCGCAAGAGTCAACACTGGACAGTCAACATGATCCTTGGGAGGCAACATCCAAAGCCACTTGGTCTTGTCAGGATTGAGCCTGAGTCTGTTAACCCCCATCCAGACCCTCACGGCTTCGAGGCAACGGCCCATCACATTGGCCGCTTCACTGAGAGAGCTCGGGGAGGAGATATATAACTGGGTATCATCAGCATACTGATGAAACCTCACCCCGTGCTGTCTGATGATCTCACCCAGCGGCTTCATATAGATGTTAAATAGGAGGGGAGAGAGGACCGACCCCTGTGGCACGCCGCATTCAAGGGGCCTCGGGGTTGATCTCTGCCCTCCCACCAATACCGATTGCGACCAGCCAGAGAGGTAGTAGGAGAACCACCATAAAACAGTGCCTCCCACTCCCACCCCTTCGAGTCGTCGCAAAAGGATACCATGATCGATGGTATCAAAAGCTGCTGAGAGGTCGAGTAGCACCAAGACAGAGGAATAACCCCTGTCTCGGGCCCGCCAGAGATCATCCATCAGCGCGACCAAAGCGGTTTCTGTGCTGAAGCTGGGCCTGAAGCCAGATTGAAAAGGGTCTAGATAATCCGCTTCATCCAGAGACTGTCGGAGCTGGAGTGCCACCACTCTCTCTACAACCTTCCCCACAAAGGGGAGATTGGAGCCTGAACGGAAGTTATTTAAATCAGCCGGGTCCAGGGTAGGCTTCTTGAGCAGGGGCCTCACAACTGCCTCCTTCAAGGATTGCGGGAAAGACCCCTCCCTCAAGGAAGCGTTGATCAACACCTGGAGCCAGCCTCGTGTCACCTCCTTGGCAGCCGAGACCAACCAGGAAGGACACGGGTCCAATAAACAAGTGGAGGCGCTCATTGCTCCCACTGCTCTGTCAACATTCTCAGCGGTCACAGACTCAAATTCATCCCATAAAACTGAGCTAAGACCTGCCCCAGTCATCTCAGAAGGCCCTGCCCAATAGGAGTCTAGGTCTGTCTGAATCCGAGCGATTTTGTCTGATAGGAATTGCACAAATTCCTCCACTCTACCCTGTAAGAGCTCCCCTGCTTCCCAAACATTAAGTAGGGAACGGGTCACGGCGAACATTTTGCCGCTCGTATCGCCACTAAATAAGTCCTAATATAGGCTCTTAGAAGTGTCCGGTTGGATTCGGAGTTACTATCCCTCCAGCGTCGCTCTAGACGTCTCTTCTGACGCTTCATCTCCCGTAGCTCCTCGGTAAACCAAGGTGCCCTCCGGGATCCACAATCACGGAGAGGTCGCAAAGGCGCGATCCAGTCTAACACCCCTGATGCCGCCTTATTCCAAGCAGCAACCAAGGACTCAGCCGGTTCGTGGAGGAGGGAATCAGGAAAACCCCCAAGCACTATTTGGAACCCTCTGGGTCCATTAAATGCCTGGGGCGGAACCACTTAATCGGTTCTGCCTCCCTGCGGTGGGGGAGTAGGACCAAGAAATCTAACCTCAACAGGAAGTGATCCGACCATGACAAGGGAGAAGTGACTATACCCCTTAAATCGAAATCACGTCTCCACTGCCCCGAGAGGAATACCAAGTCGAGCGTGTGTCCTCCCCTATGGGTCGGATCCTGAATTATCTGGGTCTGGTCCATGGTTGTCATGGAAGCCATGAACTCCTGAGCCATACCAGAGGATTCGCCGAGTGACGGCAAATTGAAATCCCCCAGCACCATAAGCCTGGGGAATTCCACCACCAACCCGGCTACCCCCTCCAGCAGCTCAGGCAGGGCTGTTGTCACATAGCTGGGAGGCAGGTATGTCAACAACAAGCCTGACTGAACCCTTGAATCCAGCCTCAAGAGAAGGGACTCACACATCTGGAGATGACTAGGGCATGGGTGACTATAAGCAGAGCCTCTTAATCTAGTATGGTGCACAAAGCTGTGCAAAGACCCTCCTAGTCACAACTGCTAAATCAAATGAAAACCATTTAATCATTGAACATTTTTTGTCATTCCTTTTGTTATATTCTGAAGCTTTTGTAATTATCAGTGTACTCTGGCTATATCATTACAGATATAATGGGTGGATGTATTGTTAACCTGTTTTCAAAAAGGATGCAAAGGCCAACATGGGCCACCTTAGAACCAGATAAAGTTTTCCATAGTATACATTTTTGCAAAAACCTTTTTTGGCAGTAAAAACCTATTGGCAGTAATCTATTTTCCTGAATATAACATTTCATAAACTAGGAATGACAGCTACTCCAAAGATTTTAGGTTTACCAAAATTCAATACTGTATATTGCAGAGCGATGACAAGAATTTTAGGCGTGGCTCTTCCTGGCGAAGACAATTTCCTCCACGTGAAGTTCATGGAATCAGCATGATGCCTGGCTCTTCAGAAACACTGCCAGCTGGATTTAGGTTAACTACAACATCAGGACAGTCACGAAAAATGGCAACTGATGGTAAGCCAGTTAACACCTATTTTCAAAATGAATGTTCCAACTTTGCATGGCTGTTAGTTACACTTAATGTAAAATATTCAAATCAGTTACATCTATTTCACAGCTAATAGAGAATAAAAGAAATATATCTTCTAGAGGCAGGAAAAAGGCAATGAGATTGGAGTAAACTTTTCAAATAATATTTTAAACTATTAACATTTGTAAAGTGTTTGATTATTAGCAATGTCCAGTGCTTTTTTTGTAAAAAAAAAAAAAAAAAAAAAGGTGCCGGAACTCACACACGTCATACAACCCGCCTTGCCTATCCTACAAGGTTCCATCCAAAAAAGGTGCCGGAACTCCGTTCTGGGCATTCCATGACAAAAAAAGCCCTGGCAATGTCCATTATGAAGAAAGCATGCAAGATATTTGTGAATACGAGAAAACAATATAGGTCTCCCTTTCAAGACACTTGACCAAAAATTAAGTGTTTCAGTAGCTGATTAAATATTATTAATTATTTAATTGCTATTTCTCAAAGCAAATTATCCAATGCTGGATTTGTTTCATTATTGGATTAATGCATTATTGGAAATCCCAAGTGACCCCACCCAACACAGATGGACATTTTTCCCTGTCTCCAGCTCCACTGGATGGCTGCAGGTCATTAATTCTGATTACATATTCAGGTTCAGAGTTAATTTATATATGGACGATACAATTTGGACATATGAACATAAACTTTATTTGCACATTTAGCCTACAGATAAATATCCGAAGCAGAACAAATATACTCTACCTGCCTTCCATTCAAAGAGTGATATGAAATATATTGTCTGATCTTGATTTTATATATCATGGAGGAAAATGCTTATGTTTGTTAATATTTATGATGAAATAACATCATTCTAGGCAAAGCAGTAAAAGAAGAAACTAAGAAATTGGAACTAAATAAGCTTAAAGGTAAAATAAAATAGCTCACAGCTACTTATTATATTAGAAAAGCTCTAGTAATGATATTTTTCACCTTCTTTCAAGTTTCTTAATATTATTGGGTTTTTATTTGCAGTTGCTTCAGCTCGGTTGCAGAGGTTAGACAGTTCTACAGTTCGCACATATTCCTGTTGACATATCTAGCATGAAAAAGAGCTCCGAACTGAAGTGAGTATTCATTCAAAAATACATGAAAGGCTGCATTCTTTATGGAAAAGATGCTTTGGGCTTCTGCTGGAGGCTTGTGCATTTCAGCAATGCTTGCAATGACCTGGGCTGTAACATTTCTAGTTGAGATGGACAAGATACATATGATAAACTATCCCTCTATGCCAAGAATTTTTTTGATATCTCATATCCTAGATGGGCTCTACAGCCTTAATTTCCTTAAGATATAACTTAGATACTAGTTTTTGTTGTACTTGTTTGTTCACGCTAACTTCCAAAGGATTACTGCAAATAGTTAGAATGATATACAAAATTTGCCACATTTTAGGGCAGTTTCAGCCATGTTCTAGAGCCACAAACAATGGAACATGATTGAATGGAAGAGGGGGGAGGAGGACCAGTTTCAGTCATGTTCTAAGAGCTACATTTCTGACCCAATAATAAATCCTCTTTGTATTTCTTCAGAAAGTAACAGACAATTCTAATTTGGTTTTTTTTTTTTTTTGATGTACCACTGTTATTTGATGGTCAAATTGGGAAAACAAACTATTGTTCCAATAGAGGAAACTATACCCTCGCCCAAACACACACAAACACACTCACACACAGAGAGGAGATCCCCATACTCATACTGATAATGTTACCTAACTGAGTAATGAAACATTTTCAAGCAAACAACAAAGCTCAGAGAGCACTAAGAACTACACAAACTCTTGATCGTAACATTGAAGACATTTGATGATGATGCTTCTCTAGTAAATATGTAATTGAATGGCAATCATTTCTTCTATTACAAAATTTAATGTATAGTGTGTAGGCCCACTAGGCTCCTTGAAAGCTGGAAAAAAAGCAAAATCCAATAATATTTTATGTTCTTAAAATTATCTCCTAAGTGTGTGGCTGTGTTCTTCCAGGAATGTCTCTGGCCTATCTAAAACAGTCTTCTGAAAATCATAAATTATTTTTCTTACCTCTCACCCCACATTCTTTCTATGAGTGGGTATAATATTTATAATCTAAAAAATCTAACAAATACCAATTGTATCTTCCTCTATACTAATTGCTCACTTGCTGAAGTCTGCTCTGTTCCTGCCTGATATTGACCCCCCACACCCAGATGCTGTTCACAGTAAACAATATGGCATGGGGTTGGTGTTTAAAGAATTTGATCTGCTATAAAAAATAGTTTTTTTTTCAAATAAAACAAATTACCTTTGATTACATTTATTTAAATACACTGCTCTCATATGTAATTTATTTAATTTAATTTAATTAATTTAAAGCTGGCTGAAATCATTATCCTTTCTCTTGAAGTTAAGTAATATTTGGAAATCTGAGCCATTAAGATATCATGATTGCTAAGTGTATCTGCCTTTAACATAAGTTTAAAAAACAATAATGTAATGATAGTAGACATTGATCCTCTGATTATTTAATCTGTTTTTAAAACAGGATATGTTGAACATATGACAGCCAAGGGAGAAAATATAAATCACAGATTTTTTATAAAAATAATCACTTCTGAAAATGTAAGCAAAAATAAAAAGTTTATCCACGTAATTTACAATTACTACTGTTCAAACAGTGATGTCACTTACAGTTCAATGCAGTGGCAACTGTGTTCATTAGAACAATGATTATACTTTGTCCAGCAGTAACTAGACAAATCCTATAATCATGAAAACATCATCTTTCAAAATGTATATATTTTCTAAAATACATCTTAAACATTACAGCCTTCCCATTAGAGAATAGCAACTTCAGTATTTTTATTAAAACATGCTATTCATTAAAATAAATTTATATAAATTATATAAATTATATCAATTTATTTTTTTTCAAAATAAGGTAGTGGTGTTTAAAAGAAAAATAAGATACACAGGAACTTTAATCCTATACGACTGTTTTAATAAATAAACTCTCTTGGTTTTACTGAGATTTTTTCTGCAGTTACCGTCCTGTATCTGCATTCTTAGTGTACAGTATAAACATCTCTATTTCATGTTATTCTGACATTAGTTTTTGAAACAAACATTTAAATAGAAAATTACAAGATTTCTTAAAGCTATTTTAGCTGTTCTTAGAGATGAACTTAAATGCAACCAGTGAATCTTCCACCATATATTTTTACTGATCCCACCTTCACATTGCCTTTCCTCTTTCCTGCCTCAATTAAGCTTTATTTTACAATTGCTATTCAGAGATTATTACTGTAAATGAATCTATAGCAGCATAAAGGTTGTTATTGAATGAACTATTTTTTCTTACTTCTAGATGCCACCTCTTCTATTTTACCTGAAGTGCACTACCACCATCTTAAGAAGCTTTTTATTCCAAGTACAGGGTAATAGGGAAGAAAATATAAATGTTTATCAAACTAAAATGTGTGGTGATCTTTTTACATATTTAGTTGTAATGTGCAACCTACCAAATACTACTGTCGCACAATTTTTTAATCCTTTCTGTGGAGTTGACACGAAAGTTGGTCACAATCTCCACTGAAATGATTGAATAGTGTGTAGCAACAATATTGTCCAGATTGCACATCTGATGTATTTTAATTAATAATTACTAATTTTTAAAAGTACACATCCTGACAAATTTGGCCAATGTGCAGAAATAATGCTTTTATCAAAAGAGGACCTTCATTTTGAAACATGTTCCATCTGTTTTATTGTAATATATTAGAATTACATGTATTTATGGTGAATTTCTTTTAATATGTGTCTCATGTAAATGGATATAAATATCATTTTTAAAAAAATATGTGGTACATGGGGTCTTAGTGAAAACACTTGACAAATACATTGTCAGGGGTAATATTTGTATCTTTTCATTCCACTATTTTTTACAATTTTGAATTGTAGCAAAGTCAATTGGATATTGGATAGCAAAAAGTTGTTAGATACTTCATCATGTTCCTACTTTTTAAAATGTATATATACCACTATTTAAAGTGAATTCTTGCCTCTAATGATCAAGAGGGAAAAGATTTAAACATGAAACTTAAGCCAAAAATGAACCTCTAAAGGCAAAACAGAACTCTCATACACATATACAAACATTCACACAGAAATGCATACAAAATTATAGAAAAGCACTGTGACTGCTCTTTTTTCTAAAACAAACATGAAGAAAAACTGCAAAAATCAGAACCAATTACAGAAAGCAAGAGACATTTTCCTCAATGGCTACCAAGAAGCAATTATCAAGAAGCAGCTAGCTTTGCTAGTATTTTTTTTTCTCAAAATTTTTCACATGCTAGCTAAAATTGGCCTTAAACAAAATGAGATGAAAATAAATCTGATTTTCAACATTTCAGTTGTATAACAATACCCTCCATGTCTTCATTATAATAGGGTATTGGAACAGCTGCTTGTCTAATGTTAGGCTTTCATTCAAAAGTGGCCTTGCTGAGACTTCACTGAAGTCAACTTTATCAGAGGAAATAACTAAAACACAAAACAGTTATTATATACTGTATAGAAGTTTAGAGGAGAAACTATTACCTGCTGTGGTTTTATTTAATGGTGTTATTGATGTTTGCCCTTTGTTATATTGGAAGTTTCAAAGTAAGAAATATTTAATAATGTAATTTACCTACTCTATTTGCTAATAATCTTGCTGCCTGATTGATCTTATTGTAGCTTAAGTCCTGTCCTTCAGCAGGCTTATCTGCAAAACATCTGCACGTGCATTTTTTTTACTGCATTTTAAAAATTTTAAACAGATTTCAGTTAATTAAATGGTGATCAATTTTTTTCCTCTCCCCTTGTCAATAAAATAAAATCAGTGCTCTTTTATGTGTTCTGTCTGTGGTACAGTGCAATATATCATGGTTTCAACCTTAATTTTTAAAGATAAACATTGTTTAAGGGACAAATATAATCAAGACATTCTCATTTATCAGTCTATTAAAGTACAGAATGTTTCCTATTCCAATGATTTGGAAATATGAGAGACCTCATTTTGACTTTGAAGCAGTTGTTTGGAGTTCAAAATGATTATTACATATCACGGTATACTGTCTCAATTATTGTATCAGAGATCAGTACATTTCAAAAATGTTCAAAATATTAGTTTCATATTTGAAATACAATGTTTTAAAATTGAATAATTTGATTTACTCAAAAGTATCTGAATTTAAAGTGGTTTGCACACAGTACTATGAAATACACCAGTTTCAACTCATTCTAGTTATATTGCAAAATGTTTCTTTTCAGTACATTATGGTGCCTTTTCCAGCTGAATATCTTCCAGACAGAAAATACATATTGTTAATTTTTAATTTGTTCTCTGCCTTACCTTTATGATCCTTGTGGAGGCACAGAAGAGGGCATGTTTTTTCTAAAGCTGAAATGAGGAATTTATAACCTACAATCTACCAGCTTGAGTTGTAGATCATTCTACACTTCTGTTCCAAGTGTTTTGTAAATTGCATTTTTTTTCATATTGGCTTGCTCTTTTTTCCCATCAGTGAATACAATTCAGTGCTCTGCGTCATTAGGCTACGACCGAAGAGCAGAAGAAAAAGAGTGTTATTTCCTAAGAAAATATATTGGTGGTCTGTATAGAAAGCCAGAGACCAGGTAGCCTTTGGATTAAAACCCATCCCATTACCTCCCCCCAAAGTATAACTGTACTTGCCCACAACTACCTTGTCCAACCCATCTTTGCTTAACACATAAGAAAACTTGGCCTTCCCTTTTAATCAAAGGGGATTCCTTAGATTGCAGTCTAAATTGTACTGTATTAATCAGTAACTTCCATTGAAAGCAACTGGACTCATTCCACATTTGGCTGCAAGAGTTCTCAGCATGTGGGGGAGAGACAGGATAATAGACAAAAGGTTTACTCGAATTTATTTTAAATTAAACATTTTTTACTGACTTACATACAAGGAGGTTGAACAACCCTCAACTTAGTATCACAGCTCTTCCCTTAATTTCAAAATTCTTTGCAAGCAAATAGCTTAGACAATTCATGGATACCATCTGTTTTCTCGCATTTTTTTAAAGTAAGTCAAGGATAAAGAAAAAGAGGATGTCAGAATGAAAGAAAAAGCTATTTTCATCCCCACCCAAATAGCCTCATTACATGAAAGGCCCCAACAAATTACTCGTAGAAAAATACAGGTAGTCCTCAACTTACAACAGTTCATTTAGTGACCATTCAAAGTTACAACAGCACTGAAAAAAGTGACTTATGACTGTTTTTCACACTTACAACCGTTGCATGATCAAAATTCAGATGCATATTTATGACGGTCGCAGTGTCCCGGGGTCACGTGATCAGCTTTTGTGACCTTCTGACAAGCAAAGTCAATGGGGAATCCAGATTCACTTAACAACCTTGTTACTAACTTAACAATGATTCACTTAACAACAGTGGCCAAAAAGTGGTAAAATGGGGCAAACTCAATTAACAAATGTTTCATTCAATTGTGGTTGTAAGTCAAGGAATATCTGTATGGTATTTGACCCTCCTCCCCAAATAAACACCTTGGGGATGTTTCCCTACCTTTCAGATTTCAGACTACATGTATGGGTGCAGGTAGGTACAAGAAAATGCTTTCAGGTATTATAGCAACAGAACGCCTCAACTATTAAATAACTCCCTCTGGTCGACTTGCTCTCATAATAAGAAAAGAGTCGTACCCAAATTCATTGTAATGATAAATTATCACATTATGGATAACAACCCTGTGAATTGTAGGATGATCAAACATATACCAAGATTATTCCTCATGACTGCCAAGTGGTGAAAGTCCCAAATATCTGTTTATAAAAATGTATAACAGTGTTTTAAAATAATTTGGGTATTTTAGAAAACGCAGCACAATTTTAGAGACTACATCTCTCAATGTTTTAACACTAGGGGGTAATATTTCTGAACTATATTTCCTTTTCGGCTTGGTTCCTAACAGAATTGCTATGTGGCTACAAGTTATTATTTACCTTGAGTATCTGGCCATTCCAAATAGAGATATTTTTTTCTTCCTTAAACTTATATTCATAGCTTGTGGCATACTACACAGCCACAATTACTGTAATGGGCTATGAGAATAACTTGGAGAGAAAGGAAGGAGAGGAAGGAGACCAGCCTAGACAATAGTCTGATAAGAGAAATCTGAGTCCAAAGCAGGAATGGAGGGTGGACAAAGCATCTCAAAATTGACCCTCCCTAATTCTCTGAAACATAAAGTAGGCCGGGGGGGGGAGCATTTTTAGACTTGCAAGATTCTGTTATTATAAGCCTACAATATAGATAATATATTAGTATTCATATTTTGGTTTCCTTGTCTGGACTGACTTTCCAGGCTGACACACAAATCCTGCTCTAAAGGATTTCTTAAAGGGTTCTACTATGTAAAATCATACATCAGGTTACACAATTTTTTTTTAAATAAATTGGGCTGCTTCAGCTCTCACAAAGAACATATTTGAGCAAACCAATTCCTCCTGCCACTTTATGCTACCCAACCTCTCTGCCAAGTTACCTAGTTGCCCATGAAAATAGAACCTAATGAAAAAGTTACCATGGAAAAGGACAGTGGGAGATAGGAATATAGGTAATCCTCAGTTTAGCAACAGTTCATTTAGTGACCATTCAAAGTTACAACGGCACTGAAAAAAGTGACATGATCATTTTTCACAGTTGCAACCATTGCAGCATCCACATGATCAAAATTCGGATGCTTTCATATTTCATATTTATGACATTTGCAGTGTCCAGGAGTCATGTGATCAGCTTTTGAAACCTGACAAACAAAGTCAATGGGAAAGCCAGATTCCTATAACAATCATATTAACTTCACAACTGCAATGATTCACTTAACTGTGGCAAGAAAGGTCGTAAAATGGGGCTAAATTCACTTAAATGTTTCATTTAGCAACATAAATTTTGGGCTCAATTGTGGTCATGAGGACTACCTATACAGTACAATTTATCAGTATTTGTGAAAAATAAAGCAGCTTATCGCTATCCAGGTAGTTTCAGCTGAGTTTTACCATACCTCAGAAACTTTTGCATTCACTGTATCTTGTCCTTAGCTACAAATGAAAACTTTAGATGGCTGGGGGACAGTTTCAGTTAATTCAGCAGTCACCGGTAGGCCTAAATTACAGGATTTTGCTAATACTGTACAACAACAACAACAATCATCATCATCATCATCATCATCTAGTCCAACCCTCTGCTCAGGCAGGAAACCCTACACCATTTCGGACAAATGGCTGTCCAGTCTATTCTTAAAAACTTCCAGTGTTGGAGCATTCACCGCTTCTGGAAGCAGGTTGTTCCACTGGTTATTCTTGTTCTAACTGTCAGGAAGTTTCTCCTTAGTTCTAGGTTGCTTCTCTCCTTGATTAATTTCCATCCGTGGCTTCTTGTCTTGCCTTCGGGCACTTTGGAGAGTGGCTTGACTCCCTCTTCTTTGTGGTAGCCCCTGAGATATTGGAACACTGCTATCATGTCCCCCCTTGTCCTTCTCTTCATTAAACTAGACATACCCAATTCCAGCAACCGTTCCTTATATGTTTTAGATATAAATGCGTCATTAATTTAGGGTCCTTGCATTAGCACAAGAAATCAAGTCCAGCCCTCCTCCCTTGAATTCCACTGACCCTTATCTATCACCAATTTAGTGCTGTTAGTTGACCAGATTCTTGTGCATAAATTCCAGCAACCGTTCCTTATATGTTTTAGCCTCCAGTCCCCTAATCATCTTTGTTCTTCTCTGTACTCTTTCTAGAGTCTCAACATCTTTTTTACATTGTGATAACCAAAACTGGATGCAGTATTCCAAGTGTGGCCTTGCCAAGGCATTGTAAAGTGGTATTAATACTTCGCGTGATCTTGATTCTATCCTTCTGTTAATGCAGCCTAGCACTGTGTTGGCTTAATTGGCAGCCGCAGCACACGGCTGGCTCATATTTAAGTGATTGTCCACTAGGACTGAGATCCCTCTCACAGTTACTACTAATGAGCAAGGTACTCGTATACCATACCTGTACATTTGGTTTTTCTTGCCTAAATGTAGAACCTTACTTTTTCACCATTGAATTTAATTTTGTTAGATAGCGCCCAATGTTCAAGTCTGTCAAAATCCTTCCGTATCTTAAGCCTATCTTCTGGAGTCTTAGCTATTCCTGCCAGCTTGGTGTTGTCTGCAAATTTGATGACTTCCCCATCTATCCCCTCATCCAAATCGTTGATGAAGATGTTGAAGAGTACTGGGCCCAGAACAGAACCCTGAGGCACCCCACTACACACTTCCCTCCATGTAGATGTGGTTCCATTGAGGACCACATGCTGAGTACGGCCGGTCAGCCAGCTACGAATCCATCTAGTGATGCTGTCTAACCCACATCTTATTAAGTAGTAGGTTGTGATCTACTTTATCAAATGCCTTACTGAAGTTCAAGTAAATTATATCCACAGCATTCCTCTGATCCACTAATTTTGTCACTTGGTCAAAGAACGCAATAAGGTTTGTCTGGCATGATCTGTTTTTGAGAAACCCATGTTGGCTTTTAGTAATGACTTTGTTTGCCTCTAGGTGTTCGCTGATTTGTTGTTTGATTATCTTTTCCAGAATCTTCCCAGATATTGTGGTCAGGCTGATAGGTCTGTAATTTCCTGGATCCATTTTTTTTCCTTTTTTCAAGATGGGAACTATATCAGCTCTTTTCCAGTCCTCTGGTAGTTCCCCAGTGCTCCAGGATCTTTGAAAAATAAAGTTCTGAGATCACATCTACCAGTTCCTTGAGAACCTTGGGGTGTAATCCATCTGGTC